GGTTATGGGTTAACCGCTATCTAAATCATATTTTAGATAGCGGTTAGCTGCTAACCGCTATTAGAAGTGTTATTCGCTCAAGCAAAAATAACATCGCTCGAGCTAAACGCCTCGCACAAAATTGGCATTCTCGGGTTGTATTTCGCTGAGCTGAATATAGTCTCGCTCGAGCGATTTTTTGCTCTGATCGATTAGATTTTCGAAATGATCGATCATATTTGATAATTTTTTCAAATAATTAATTATAATCGATTAGTTTTATAAATTATTGATTAGAATTGATTAGTTTTTCAAAGAATAGATCAGAATTGATTAATTTCTAAATATATACTAAAAAATTATAAATAAAAATATAAATTAGTTAAGAATATTGACTATTGTAAAGATAAAGTAGAACATGGGAGGAGATGAGGATGATAATATAATGATAGAACTTGCAAAAATGTAGAATTGAGATGTTTGAAACAAATAAAATTAAGAAAATAGAGATTTAATTACACTTTTAATAAATTTAAGATAATACTAGTTTTGATTTTTATTTTTAAATATTTATTTTAATTTTTTAAAAACAGAGAAACTATAATTTTAGTTTCTAAATACTAAATTTAAAGAATTAAATTTATTATTAATATTTTTTAATATTGTTTTAAATGTGGATATCTTTAATATTTTGGACATATAAATATAATTTATACATGTTTTTAAACCTTTTTCTAATATTTCTTTTTAAAAATATAATATCATTTTTAATATTTTATAGATTTTATATTTATATATTTATAAAAGTAATTGGATTAAATTTATTATCCTCTCATATATTATTATATATTTAGCGTAATTTTAGTTTAATTTAAAATTAGAATACAAATATACTATACTAATATACCATTATATTATTTTCATTGTATATAAATTACAAAATTAATAATTTGTATACTATACTATACTAACATATTATTTGTATACTATACTAATAGTATAATATACTATATTATAATATTATTTGTATACAAAACTAATATCTTTATATATAAATATATAAATATGGAAAGATATAAATATATGTAAAAATATAAACATATAAATATATATAAATATGTAAAGATATAAACATATATCTTTAATATTTTGTACATGTAAATATAATTTATATATATTTTTAAATCTTTTTCTAATATTTATTTTTAAAAATATAATATTATTTTTAAAATTTAATATTTTTTTTTCAAATATATAAATATATATAAAGATATAAATGTATAAGGATATAAATAAATATATCAATATATAAATATATCAAAATATTAATATATAAATATATTAATATATAAATATATTAATATATAAATATATTAATATATAAATATATTAATATATAAATATATTAATATATAAATATATAAATATATATATATATATATAAATATAAAAATATAAATATATAAATATATAAATATATATATATATATACAAATATATCAATATATCAATATTATCCCCTCATATATTAATATACATTATTAGCATAATTTTAATTTAATTAAAAATTAGAATACAAATATACTATCCTATACTAATATACCATTATATTATTTTCATTGTATATAAATTACAAAATTAATAATTTGTATACTATACTATACTAATATATTATTTGTATACTATACTAATAGTATAATATACTATATTATAATATTATTTATATAGAAAACTAATATCTTTATATATAAATATGAAAAGATATAAATATATGTAAAAATATAAAGATATAAAGATATAAATATATCAATATATAAATATATCAATATTTAAATATATATTAAAATATATAAATATATTTTTATTTATAGATTTTATATTTATATATTTATACTGGATATACATTTATTTGTATATAAATATAATTTATTTGTAAGTTATTATTAAAAGATCCTAAGTAGCTCAATGGTTGGAGTTTCAACCTTCAACTCTAAGGTACCGGTTCGAATCCCGACAATGACAATAAATCACCTAATAATAAGTTAAACTTCTAAAAAATATAATATAATTAAGAGATAAGAGAAATAAATATAAATAAAAACTTAAATAAGCAAAAATATAATATAATTAAGATGTAGGGAAAATAAATAATAAATATAATAAAAATGTAAATAAATAAAAATAATTAAATTTGTTATTGATTTAGCGACCGATTTAAATCGGTCGCTATTTTTTTAACTTTTTCATTGATTTAGCGATCGAGTTAAATCGGTCGCTATTTAGCCACCGATTTTCATTTTGGTCACTATTTAGCAATCGATTTAGCTGACCGATTTTAATTATTATTTAAATAATTATATTAATATATTAGCGATCGAATATATTGGTCGCTATTTTTTAAAACTTTACCACTGGATTTAGCGACCACTTAATTCGGTCGCTATTTTGGTCTCCAATGAATAAGTGACCAAATTATTTAGCGACCACTTTAGCGACCACTCAGATCGGTCGCTATTTAGCGACCGAATGTAAATCGATCGCTAACAACTTAGCGACTTGCCCTTTTGCGACCAACCATTTCGGTCGCTAATTTCAATCGCTAACGGAATAGCGATCGAATTTTGGCCATTAGCGACCGAATTTTTCAGTCGCTAAAAGCGATTTTTCTTGTAGTGATCATTTAAAAAAAAAACTCTAAACTATCGTTAGTTCTATCCGATTTGAGTAAAAGTATTTACACAGAATACATGAAATCTTAAGTAAAGAATGCTCTAAAAATTTATTGTATTTTAAAGTTTAAACAAACAAAAAGTTTTTTATTTCATTTTATTTTATTTTAAGGTGTAAAGCAAGAATAAAACTATAAATGGTGTATGACCATTTATTTGGACTTAAAAGGGTATACCCTTATTTCCAAAGAAGACCAAAACCATTACGCATACTCATTGCTTTTTTCCTGATTTTTTTTTCCCGTGAAATGATTATTTTTTCTCCACATTCAAGCATGAATTTTAATGATATTCTGTAATTAATGCATATGATTTTCGATCCAACAAATATGATAAATTTATATATATTATGTTTAAACAAATTAAAATGTTCAACATGGAAGATCATAATCTTTCCCAAAAAATCAAAATTTAACCACAAGAAGTAGCTTTTCCAAGCTTGATATTGAATATCTGTTATTGTATTGAGACTGGTGCATGTGGAACTGGGAATCTTGCTTGTGAACCTCACATGCCTTACTCTCAAGACAGTTGGTAGGCTATCACATAATTGACAAAAAAATGAAATGAAATGGGACATAATGTTCCACATAATTTCAAATTATTTCTTTGGTCAATGCTATCAGTTTTTGTATTTGGAACGTTTGTTAATGAAATTCATTGAAGCCTATTGTTTATTCTCAATCATTCCTATTGTGCTTGAAAAGATATATATTAACTAATTTAATAGATATCATTTGTCTATATACCCTAATCCAATCACAAACACAGAATGTCTACACGGGCCCTCGGAAAGTTGGCATAGAATTTTATTTACATGCATGCATAAACAAAAAATCAATAATGATGTTACATTTTTCTGGGGTAAGTAAGGACTTAGATGCAGTACTTCTCATCCACCTCTGTAGAATAATCAGACTTGTTAAAAAATTGGAATAAGGTCAAGTTATAGGGTAGATAATGCATATATTTAGAACCATACGTGGACCAAAATACGATCAAAATTGACATGAATATATATAGAAGAAAAGTACACATAGAAAAAGTGTAGCATTCTTCGAAAGTACATGCATATCGGAGGTGGAAACTGAAGTAAAAACATGACAAAAACAATCATATTTTTCCTCAAATGGTGTCACGGGTTTTGATCTTCTTTTTATGGTGTTTCGGTCAATTGCAGCAACATCACGTCACGGGGTGAAAGCGTTTTTTCGCGGATCATAGGTAAACTCCCAAGTGCTGCTGCAGTGCTTTCCAATTTGACAAGTCATTGTAAGACGGGAAGAACCTTCACAAACCATCACATATTTTGACTTGTTTAGTTTTCTAATGTATAATAATTCTTGAGAGTGTGAAAGGTTGGATTAATAGTCCAAATAGCATCCTACCAGTAAAGATAAAAATATAGATATCTTGTGCTAACAACAAAAATAATGAAGTAAGAAAAGAAGAAATATAGAGAGAGAAAACCAGGCATAATAAGACTATGGTACAAGTAAGAGAGCGAGAGATTGGTTCGTCCGTGAATGTCCATAATTAACTTCCACACTTCTCTGAAAAAAGATTAAAAACAAATAAAATATGAATTAAAAATGTTAAAGTTATTGGGTAGTTTCTCTTACTTTATATATCCATGTCCCTAAGTTATGGCATGTAATATATTTATATGAATGCATTTTAGCATCTACTACCATACTACTAGTACCTGGGACCAACCCAGCCACCACCCACTGAGCCTAACTACGTGTTACACTCACTCACTCTCTCTCTTCTCATAAACCTGATACTTATGATGAATATGATATGTATGTATCCAATTCATCTTTCAATTAATCCACGTGGAAACCCAATCATGAACCTTCTTTCTTCCCCAACCGTAATTAATCAAGAATTTGCAGATTTTTTTAAGTTATAGTCTTTAACAAATATATACAAATTTTTCATATTCTTATTTTCATAGATCAATCTTTAAAAAGAGATTATTTTGTTTCATTATTTTCCCTTGCGTGAGGGTGTGTGACTCTCACCATCTCCGGAAGAAGTAAATAAAAATGTATTTATTAATGAAAGTTTAGTTGCGAGTGGTTATAGAAGCTTGCTAGGTAGCTGCATATATATGAATATGGTGCATCGACGTGGAAAGCCAATCATGAAAGTTAAAATTTTCTCTCCGTGCCCCCATAGTCACCCAAATTAAACCCTGTGAAAGACGCAACTGAACGCAACTCACTCTATATATAACCCACCCCACTCACCATCACTCCTCACTCCCTCATTCTTCAACTTCATTCCATGGCTTCAGGAAACGACGCCAAAACCAAATTACTAGCCATTGCGCTAGTGCTCTGCGTCGCACTGTCCTTCCCGGGGGAGGGCGAAGGGAGGGTGCCCTTTGCATGCGACCCTGGGAACGGACTCACCAGGGGGTTCAAGTTTTGCAACACGCACTTGCCCCTCCACGTGAGGGTGCAGGACCTCATCGCCAGACTCACATTGCCTGAAAAGATTAGGCTCGTCGTCAACAACGCCATCGCCGTGCCCAGGCTCGGAATCCAAGGCTACGAGTGGTGGTCCGAGGCGCTTCACGGCGTCTCCAATGTGGGCCCCGGCACCAAGTTCGGTGGGGCCTTTCCTGGTGCCACCATGTTCCCGCAAGTCATCACAACCGCTGCTTCCTTCAATCAATCTCTCTGGCGCGAAATTGGACGGGTTAGATCATTTTACCCTCTCATTCTCCTTTTTTATTCTATCATATCCCATGAAACTTGTAACATCGACTTTTTCAACATTCATTTGGGTTGGCTAATAAATAATCAAAAAGTAGATTCCCTCCTTTCCTCTTCGGCCATTCCTGATAAAATTAACCATTTATCCATCACCTTTTATATCCATAATTAATACATTACATATTGCATGCATGTCTTAATTACAACCAATGTGCTTAAAGTTTTGACTCAGTAAAAATAATCTAATCAGGGTCCGAGCCCTGAAAAGAATCTAAAACCGGAGCTCGAGATTTTATATATTTTTCTACTATGTAATCACAAAACATCTGAAGAACGACAGAAAAAATTGTTGTTGTACATGTAGATTATAAAAAGTGACTAGTTTTTTCGTTGGTTAAACTTTTTTCCTTTTTGTTCTCATCCAAATAAGTTTCAGTTGAATGCATATAGAAAAGAAGAAAGTGGGGAATATTATTAAGAATGTGGTGGTACTTGACTACTCGCTATACACTCACCTGTTTTAGCTTGTTTACATGGTAGCTGACGAATTGTGTCCCAACCACCATGTGGCTTGCATGCATATTAATATAAATATATGCGCAATCTGACAATCAGGTCATTTTAATGGTAAAGAAAATGATGATAACATTGAAAAATCCTCAACCTAAATTGTCAGTAAACTAGAGGGTAAAAGAAGTCCATTACGCCATTGATTCATTAACTACGAAAGCAACAATAGATGGTGGTTCTCGTTGTCATTGTCTTCACCTATTTACGTCACTAATTAAATATACATCGGTTAATATTCGAATAATAATTAGTTTCACTTTCCGTGGTAATTAAATAGATTCTTTTCATACTTAATTTTTACCAAAAAAAAAAAACTTACTTAAATATAGCGGGCAATATTGACAAGGTTTTCCATTAAGATTATTAAGGTTAGTGAAGCATATATATCAATCATCTTAATTTGCATGTTTGAAGTTGCTTAATGAAACGTAAAATTTCATAGTCTTTATATCTTTTATTAATTATTGGTTTGGTGAATAATTGAACGAACACAGTAGGTGTTTGATGTTGGCCACACACACCAACACCTTGCAAAACCTTGCGTCGACCTTTCCACTACGTCTTTTTTCTTTTCTTTTTCGTTCTGGTCCCGAGGCTATACATGATTAATGATTTTAATGCTCATTATAAGTTGCGATTGCTGTAACAATGAGACCCAGTAATATTCTATAGCCAATCGCATTAGCCAAAGTTGTTATATTAATATATTATTGGTGAAGTGAAGGTCTTCTCTTTAGATAAAGTGATGATGAAAAGAAAACCGTTCGATGATGATTTCAATATTTAGTTATTCGTCGTGACATTTAGATTCCTGAAAATGTAAAAAATGGGGTGATTTGTTTGTCTCTTAGTGTCAAAAACAACTTTTATTATTATTCCGGTTGGTAGTTCAGCTAAGAGACAGAGAATAAACCAAGATAAAGATTTTTATTTTCAGAAGAAAAAGAACAAGAAAAGTATCTATTGAATCACAACAATAATATTATTACTTTCTATATAACTCTAATGATGATAATTTTTTTATACTGTATTTTCATTATAAGAGATTGAGATTATTCTTCTAGCAATTAGGCTCAATAAAGCAAAAAGGAAAAAGAAATTTCTCTTTATAGATATATTAAAAAAAAAAAACTGAATGAAGTAATGAAAGTCTTTTTTTTTTTTTTCTTGTAATGGTAAGGCTTCATCTACGACTAATTAAATACATAAATACGATTAAATTCATAATAATAATTATTTAGTTTTGGTGTTTTAATTAATGGTACGTACTTAATATCAAGAGGTGTAACTAAAGTATTGAATGAATTGTTTTACATTATTTATATTTTGAAATTGTTTGTTGAATTAAAAATATGTACCTAATTAATCATGCATGTACATACACAGGTGGTGTCTGATGAAGCAAGAGCAATGTACAACGGTGGACAGGCTGGTTTGACGTATTGGAGTCCTAATGTGAACATTTTCCGCGACCCACGGTGGGGTCGTGGCCAAGAAACTCCCGGCGAAGACCCGACCTTGGCCGCAAAATACGCCGCCAGCTATGTCCGAGGACTCCAAGGTGACGGGGCCGGCAACCGCCTCAAGGTGGCTGCTTGTTGCAAACACTACACTGCCTATGATCTTGATAACTGGAATGGTGTGGACAGGTTTCATTTCAACGCCAAGGTGCGTATACGGTCCCAACAATATTCTTATTTCTATCATTACTTGTCCAGGTATTTTTACAATTTATACCATACTTTATTCAAAGTTTCTATAATTGTTTGAGGTGAAACTAAATGAAATTACGCACTTTTCATGCGCCTAAAATACAAGCGTTGTTGAATGGTGACATGGATACTCAGCCATGTTATGACTATCTATCTATCTATCTGTATATATATATATGCTGAGGAAGCAAAGCTAGAAATATGTATATATAAAGTGAATGTAGCTATCGACTTTGTTGTTTCTCATTTCTTTGATTGAAACAAGTTGATTTGTATGAAAGAGAAAAAGAGACGCGAATTTGGGTGAAGTGGAAGTGATCCAAGTTGTTGTGACAAGGACTTGCGCCCACTTGCAAATTGATTGGGATAAGTGACAGCGATGCCATTGAAACTTTTAGAATTAAAAATATACTTAAATTTAAATAAACTGTGCATGTGAAAATGGTTTGGTGTGGTGTGCATAGGAAGAAGTAACTAAAGCCCAAATAAAAATATGGGCCGGAATTAAAATGGTGTGGGCTATTTTGCACGTGCAGGTGAGCAAACAGGATCTGGAGGACACTTATGACGTGCCATTCAAAGCCTGTGTGTTGGAAGGAGAAGTGGCGAGTGTGATGTGTTCTTACAATCAGGTGAATGGCAAGCCAACGTGCGCTGACCCTGATCTCCTTCGCAACACTATCCGTGGCCAATGGCGCCTCAATGGGTTAGTCCAATATATACTCATTTTTCACCCTCACTTTCGGCTTTTCGTTTCACTTTTTACCCATTTTCTCACCATTCTCTTGCCATACACAAAAAATAGGTACATAGTCTCGGACTGTGACTCCGTTGGAGTTTTCTATGACAGCCAACACTACACAAGAACACCCGAGGAGGCAGCAGCAGAGGCCATAAAAGCGGGCCTGGACTTGGACTGTGGCCCATTCTTGGCGATCCACACCGATGCTGCCATTAGGAAGGGACTCATTTCCGAAAACGATCTCAACCTTGCCTTGGCCAACCTTATCACGGTCCAAATGAGATTGGGCATGTTCGACGGCGAACCCTCGGCCCAACCATACGGAAACTTGGGCCCAAGAGACGTGTGCACCCCGGCCCATCAACAACTGGCCCTTCAAGCAGCCAGAGAGAGCATAGTGTTGTTGCAAAACAGAGGAAACTCGCTACCACTATCCCCTGCGCGAATCCGTACCGTAGGAGTGATTGGACCCAATTCGGAGGCCACCGTTACCATGATAGGGAACTATGCTGGTTAGTTGATTTAATATCTTAATAATGAGTAAGTAAGATGATAGGTTTTTATTAGAAATTAATAAATGATATGAATTTGTTTGAATCGTGATAGGTGTGGCGTGTGGTTACACGAGTCCTCTGCAAGGGATTGCGAGGTATGTGAAGACTGCTCATCAAGCGGGGTGCAGGGGTGTGGCTTGTACGGGGAACGAACTATTTGGGGCAGCAGAGACCGTAGCTAGGCAAGCTGATGCCACCGTCTTAGTAATGGGCCTTGACCAGTCCGTAGAAGCCGAAACAAGGGATAGAGTTAGGCTTCTCTTACCGGGCCTTCAACAGGAGCTTGTTGCCAGGGTGGCTAGGGCCGCAAGAGGCCCAGTTATCTTGGTCATCATGTCTGGTGGCCCAGTGGATATCTCGTTTGCCGTAAATGACCCAAAGATCAGTGGCATTTTGTGGGTTGGTTATCCTGGGCAAGCTGGGGGAACAGCCATCGCTGACGTCATCTTTGGTCAAACTAACCCAGGAGGAAGGTTACCCATGACATGGTACCCAGAAGGGTATTTGAGCAAAGTGCCCATGACAAACATGGACATGCGTCCAAACCCAGCAACAGGGTACCCAGGAAGAACCTACAGATTCTACAAAGGACCTGTGGTGTTCCCGTTCGGACACGGACTTAGTTACTCCAGATTCACCCACACCTTAGCCATTGCTCCAAAACAGGTCTCGGTCTCCTTAACCGCCCTCCAACCCTTCTCAAACTCAACCCTTTCAAGCGAAGCAGTGCGGGTGAGCCACGCCAATTGTGACGACACACTGGAGATGGAATTCCACGTGGACGTCAGAAACGAAGGCTCCATGGATGGGGCCCACACTCTTCTCGTTTTCACAAAGCCACCACGAGGAAAATGGTCCCAGATTAAACAATTGGTGAACTTCCAAAAGACCCATGTTCCTGCTGGCTCCAAGCAGCGCGTGAAGGTTGGTGTTCATGTGTGCAAACACTTGTCCGTTGTGGACCAGTTCGGTATTCGAAGAATCCCAACCGGTCAACATGAACTCCACATTGGTGATCTCAAACATTCTATTTCTGTGCAAAATACGCACCAAATCAACAACTGAACCATTCATGTTGCCATTTATTAATTAACTGTCAAACAAATTTGACAGGTGCAGCCAAGTTTTGCAAATAGCAAAAAAATATCAACAATAAATGTTACTTGCCTGTAAAATGCAAATGTAAAATAAGGATGTGTAGGTGACAATTGTAATTTGTAAACCATGTATCATTATTCATACTTCATATGTGAAAAAGGGATTTATACCAAGTTCAACTTCTCCTCTTCTTATCTTTTGGTCTCAAAACTGACAATTGAATGCTCCTGCTTACTTAACAACAACTTTCTTACCGTTCGCCACCCCTTTTCTAGACATTTCGCGACGGCTTCTATGTTGAGGTGGTTGGTCTCACGTGCCTAGAATGCGAAAAATAATAATTTAAAACAAAATTGGATTAATTTGATCCAGTCAACTTACCAAACAGATGAGACCAAGTGTAAATCTTTGGTTTATCGATATATCTATTTCCATTTTTTAAATTTATATTTTTATTGAATAAGTGAAGCAATTTGGTCAACTTCAAACCCACAAGTAAGACCCGATCAGAAAAAACATGACTTCTCAGAAATGTGAACCAAGTTGAATGTGGCTGTTTTCATTGTTTAGGCAGTTGAATTGGACTAATAATTGTATTTTGTCTGCTTGTGAAGAAAAGGTGAAGGTTGCTTGCTGCTACCAAAGATGCTTTCTATGGAAACATTGTTTTAGAAGTTGAACATAAAAATTTATAATAACTCAAAAATTCTATTTAAACAAAAAAACTGTAACTGAAAACATGTTATTATTTTGCAGAAACATAGTAATTTATATACCCAATGGTAAAAGATCAGCGTGAGGGGTAGAGTTGGTACTTCGATGGAATTCTATAAATGGTGAGAGCTATGCATTTGCAATTAATTAAGAACAGGGAATAAGGATAGGACTCTATAGGACTATATAGGACTATAGGACCATAGGACTAGGACAATCATTTTGTACGGATTAAATCCACCGTCCAATAATTTTACACATTTATGATATATATATATATATTCTGCCCCACTATCAATTCTCTAAAAGAAAGAAATATGTGATATGATGAATAGTGGAAATATTAGTATAATATTTAGCTGAGATAATGTAGTAAGGTGAGGTGACAGATGGTTGAAGGAGATGCATGAGGTTTTAATTTGAATGACAGTTAATGTAGATGAACAAATTATTGTTAGGTGGTGGATAATATCTTAGGCTTAGCTGGTGGATGTTATGGTGAAAGTTTCCATAAAATAATTTGTAAAATGAGAAGCTGCTGGGGCCTTTGACAAGTGGCAATTGTACCACATTTTCTAATTTTCAGAAAATTGTGGGGATTTATATTTATTTTATATAGTTTATACTTATTAAATTCAAAAGTTTCATTCATTGGATTAAATCTATACATTTTTTTTAACTTTAAAGGTTTAATATGTCATTATATTAATTCAATTTACATATCATATACATTTATATATATATATATATATATATATATATATATATATATATATATATATATATATACTACAGGTTACAAATTAGGAATATATTTTTTATCCAGAATTTCTTGTGCACACAAATATATAAATGGTAACAGATGATGTCTCATGATCCATTAGTCCAATCAGATTCGATTGTGAGAATAATCTAGATATGTATGGCCATGAATGTGAAGGATAAAAAAATATGATAGTTTTATGATTAAAAATAGTATATATATTTTTTCTATAATTTCAGTTTACTTTCATCATATTAAAATTAAAATTCATATAACATTTATTTATTATTTTAATTTTTAAAAAGTTAATATTTACATATTAAAAGAAAAAAAACACATGTAAAACTAAAATTTATGTACGGCTCCATATTTATTATTTTGTCATAAATACACTAAATGTTAAATTTAATATTATTGTATTTAATTTTTTATTAATGAAAAAGTAAATATAGTATATATTTCTTTCAATCGGTTTTTAATTATTTACTATTTACGTGTTTGTTTTCAATTATTTACTATTTACGTGGAGGCAAGTGATACATTGCTCGTTCACATTGAGGTTGGTTGTTAGTAGTTCTCGTTCTCATAGGCTGGATGTTTGTGGTTGTGGTTTGGTTTTGTATGTGTCGTGTGTTGGTGGGTGAAAGTGGCCGAGAGAATAGTTGTGGGTGTTACAGAACATTAATTCTCTTGAAGTTGAAAATCGATTATGACTCATGGAGAATCAATTATCGTCCCTTTTATTCCAACATTTTATATTCTTCATGGCTATCGATTCTTGATGAAGGAGACTCGATTCTTGGACAATGCATAATCGATTTTTGAGGACTAAAATCGATTATCGGTTATGTCTTCTTATAACGAAAATCGATTCTTGTGTGTGAGAGTTGTGTTGTGTTTCAACCATTGATCTGTGTTGTCTTATTTTAGGTTTTGTGCTGGTGAGTTGTGTTGGTGCTCGTCGTCTCCTCGTGGTGGTAATGCTCGTCTTAGTCGTGTGATGGTTATTGCATTGTTGGTATCGCTCTGTTTCAAGGTTAGACTTCTAGAATCATATTCAGTTTCAATGAGTGACACAATTTTGTATGTTAAATTTAGAATACTACGATGAGCTAATTTGAGTATTTTACACAAAACCTAAGAATCACAGAACAGGGGTATCTATACAGTGATGATGTCAATAGGACAAACATTAAAATAAGACATGCAAATTAGTTAACTCTGGCTGGTCTTAAATATGAAGGCTACAAGATATCATTTCCTTATATCCCCAAACATATGGAATACAACCATGACATTGAACTTCATGCTATGTTCAGGGTAATGTGAAAAAGACACGAAGTTTGTAAATCAATTACAACCTTCTGCATTATGTTCTTATTCATATATTGATTCCTCAGGCGACAAATTTTGCAAAATTGACATAAAAGGATATCTTTATGTTGTAGGCATTGAAAAGTAATATTCTGATTAATTGATTGTATCATATTATGCAACACATGTTGAATGCAATAACAATAACATGCATATTTCATATGCCATACACGCATAATGGTTTATTATGGCGTGAATTTGACGTTGGATTCCTCCATCGTGTTGGGTTGGATTCATTATTTTAGTAAACAAAATGTTTAACAAATTGAATATCGTTTGTGTCAATGACGTAGGGAAACATGGAAGGGTCAACCAAGAAGATGAAAATGATGATGATGAAGACCTTGCAATACCTTAAGATGATGCAATCAATATTGGACAATAAGACTCGCTTCACCATGAATCAATTCAACCACATTCAGTCCCCCATATGATGGTCAAATATTATCACAAATTTGGAAGGGGATTACGACATGCAAGCAAGAATACAACAAATGGAAGATGATTTAGTTAATCTAAACCTAACTGTTAGCACAAGTTTCGACAGAATTCATGATAGAATTAAATGTTTGGAGGAGCGATTTGATGACTTCTAGGACTACTTTTAATAGAACTCATGTAGGCATGACAACGGGGCGGGTGGGGGCGGGTTTTGCCTCCCGATCCCCGTCCCGTTGGGTTTCGGGTTCCCGTCCTCGATCTATATTATTTTTAAAAAGATAATTACATTTATAATAAATTAATTTTACTATCTATTTTTTATATATAAATAAATATTTATAATTTTATAATTTATAATTATTATTACTTAAATATACATTTTAATTTATTATATTTATATTAAAATATGTATGCAAAAGAAATATTTAATCATTTTTTATTTATAACATTATTATTATTATAACATCTGTATTCAAATATTTGAATACTTATAACATTATTATTATAATACTGTATTCAAATATTTGATTATATATATATATATATATATATATATATATATATAAGTTAATTCATTTTTAAGTTGTCATTTAAAAATATGAAATATATAGTTTATAAGGAAATATTTAATAATTTAATTCTTATTCAATTAGTTTGAAGTAATAAAATTTTAAATTATCAATTCCTTTAATCCTTTAAAATACAATTAATTATTAAGATAAAATTTTATATATGATAAATAAGAATAATAAGATAAAAAAATATGACATAATAAAGCCTAATAAATATAAATTATAAATAAAATAATATTAGTTACTACTAAGATTTATGTAAAATATTTAGAAAAAGATAAAGAATAAAAAAAATTAACTTTGTGTTCATCAAATTTGTTGAAAATATTAAAAAAAACAAATTGATGGAAGAGATTAAGAAAATGTGAAAAACTGAAAGGTAAGAGAGAGAAAAATATAATAAATTAATTGATATAAAAGATTAAAAAAGACAAAAAAAATTAAAAAGTGGGTAGCGAGAAAAATAAAAATTGGTGAAATATAAAAAAATGAGCTTATATGTAATAGAAAAAGAAAAGGAAATACTTTTAAAATATTAATATTTTAAAATTTAAATTTAAATATAAAGTCGGAGTTTGGGACGGGGATGGGGTCGGAGTCGGGGTGAGGATTGCATTACTCATCCCTCTCTCGTCCCCGACTTTTAAAACGGGAAAACCCAAATCCGCCCGCCTCGCCCCGATCAACTCGGGTTTTCCAGTCAAACTCGGGCGGGGATGGGTTGGTCCCCACGAGTACATGTTTAATTGTCATCCCTAAATTTATATCTTAATTTGCTTAATGCTATATTTATGTTTATTATTATGCATGACGAAGACATTCTCGGGTTACACTTTGAATATTTATTTCTATGGACTTTGTATTTATTTGTTGTGCATTTTTTTCTTATAATTTTACAATTTAGTATGCAATTTATTTTATTAACTTTCATTCTAAATCATATACTTAAATTTAAATTAACTTTATAATTAATTTAAAAAAAATTATTTATTTAAATTATAATTTTATTTCATTTAAATAAATTATGTCAATTTTTTCAAATTAATTTCCAACTCATATATTTTATTTTATAATAAATTCATATATTTAAATTTTTATATATTTCAAATAATATATCACATCTAATTTTATTATTATTTACTTAATTTTTATTTTATTCTCAAATATTTATTTAAGCCAAGGGCACAATTTTAATATAATCATATTATCAATTAAATTTTAATTTTTTAATTTGGCAAATCAATTATATTATTCACAATTTTTTTATCTTTTTTTAACCAATTTTTCCTTAATCCAAACAATCTAAATTTGATCTCTTTTTTTTCCTTTAAATTAACCAATTTTCACTCCCTCAAATTCATCCTCTAATCAAAACAAACAGTTAAAGTATTGTGAAATAATGTGTAAAATAACAAATATATACACTATAATGATTTAAAGAATTTTAAGAAAGTTAAAATGATTTTAAACATTCTCATAAATTAAATTAGTAAAAATAGATATTTAGTAAAAATAGATATTTAGTAATATAATAGACTTAGTTTAACGCATTGATTTAAAAGTCTAAGAAATAAATTAAATTAGGTTAAAACAATTATAATTAAAAATAAATTAGTGAATTTATCTCATAAATTTATTTAAATTAGATTAGTCAATTTATCTCATAAGTTTATTAATTGATAGTTTTATAGAATAATAATTATTTTTTAAATAAAAATAAAAATAATATTATTTTGTTAATATATATATATATATATATATAAATTAATTTGATAAAAAATAACTTATAATAAAGTAAATTTTAATACTTACAACATATTTGTATACAGGTAAAAAAAATATAAGTAGTGAAAATTTACAATAAAAGTATAGAAATCGAGGTAGAAAAAAATAAAAAGAGTTACCTTTTCTTTTTCTTGTTTATGGGCGAAGAAAAGGAATAACAAGTTTCTATTTATTAAAATATACTTTATGTTTTAATTATTATAATAATAAATAAATAATATATAAATTTATTGAAAATTAATAAAATAATATTTTAATTAATTATATCAAGTTTATTTTTATAATTTTTAACTTTTTTTTTTACTTTTTATTCTCTTCCTCTTAATCTAAACAATTTCATTTTTTTATTATCTTTATCTTTTTTTCACTTTCTTAAAATTACTCTCCAGTCCAAATACAACAATATTTTAAGATTAAATAAATATGATCTCTTAAAAATATTTTTTTTATTTAAATATTTATTTTAATTATATTTTGTAATAAAAACATTAATATTTTTTTAATTTTTAATTAATAGGATCATTGATTTAATATAGATTAAATTAGATTAAAAATTATGATCAATTTTAAAATATAAGTCAAGTTAAATTATTATTAATTTTTTACTTGTTTCATAATCTCAGGTGAATCTGAATCGAACATTCTCATTTTACAACTCTAAAAATAATATTATTTATTATTTTAATAATAATTATTATTATTAAAGTTAATCAAAACAATAGAGAAAATAAGTAATAAATTATTATTGTATTTACTTTTTCATTATTTTGAAGGTAAAATAAAGAATTTCTAAAGTTATCATATTTAATTAGAGTAGTAATTTAAAAAACTAATATATTTGTTTATATGTGATTCTTTATCTAAAACTCGATTTCCCACACTAATTTTTAAGTGTACATTAGTGATAACTTTATTTTTTTATTTTATTTTTTATTTCATCGCGATCCTTGTGACATCTCTTTCAAGTTATTATTGAAATATTTATATTTTTGTATTAAAGTATTTGACCATAACAATAATCATGTTTTGTGAATTCAGGTGTTGCAAGATAAATATCAAAGAACAAATAGAAATAGAAAATAGATGAACGGGAGTAAATATCAAGAAATATTTTTATTAAAGACTGATACAATATCCATACATTTATCCTAAAAAATTGTTTAGATTAAGAGGAAGAGAATAAAAAGATTAAATCCTAAACCCTAAACCCTAGTGAAAAAAGGCTTTTTATGTCGGTTAAAATGAGCTTTTTACGTCGGTTAAAGAGGTGACATAGATACAGGGGTCATAGAAAGTATGACTTTTTACGTCGGTTGTGATGAACCAGTCATAGAAAGTATGACTTTTTACGAAAATTGTTACTTGGTAGGATTCGAACCCAGTACATTTGAGTCTAGAATTAGACCAACCACTACACTAATACGATATTTATTTATTTATTCATATTATATTTTTATTATACTTTATAATATATTATTTTATTATACTTTATAATATATTATTTTATTATCTCGTTAAGAGATTTGTGTCTAACAAGATTCGAACCCAGTACCTTAGAGTTGGAGATCGATACTCCAACCACTAAACTACTACGAATTTCCGATACATAACTTACAAATAAATTATATTTATATACAAAATATATAAATACAAATATATTTATATATTTTGATATATAAATACTTATATACTTATATGTTTAATTTTTTTATTTAATATACACTTTCTATGTCGGTTAAAATTTAACCGACATAGAAAGTGACCTTTCCACTTACTATGTCGGTTATTTAACCGACATAAAAGTACTTTCTATGTAGGTTGAAATTTACTACGACATAGAAAGTTTATGATTTGTGTCTAACAAGATTCGAACCCAGTAACTTAGAGTTGGAGACTAATACTCCAACCACTAAACTACTACGAATTTCGATACATAACTTACAAATAAATTATATTTATATACTTTGTGAACTTTCTATGTCGGTTAAAATTTACCCGACATAGAAAGTTTATGATTTAATTATAAAATTGCCACCGCGCTACAAACTATGACGGGTGGACTACGACCGTGATAAAAACTCGTCATAGAATGCTATTTTTCCACTAGTGGCAAAACCATATTTAAATTATTTTAGTTTCATAATTTACTTCAACTAGTTTATATATATAGTACTAAAATAACTAGCACATGTATTTAAAATGTTTAGTTTTTTATTTCCTATTTTCAATATTAACTAATTTGTTCAATTTTTTTTACCTGCTTTACCTCTTCTAGTAAGGTTAAAATTTGTGTTGGAATCCTTTAAATTACAATTTTATTGGAGAAAAAGAAAAATCTTAGGAAATTCAATTTTTTTAAGATGATAAGTTATTATAAAAAAAATCAAATATTAGAAGTTATATAATAATAATAATTAAATATGTCTGTTTATATTAAATGATATTTATTAACTAATATTAACAAATTTTTAAACTTGCACTAATTAATTTTCAAATTTTAACATAGCTTTAAAATATTATATAAGGTATAATTTAACAGTTAAATTAGTAAAATTATATCTTATATAAACTAAATGGTATAATTATTGTTATGTATATTTATATATTAGAGTAAACAGGGAAGCTTATAACTCTTGAACTGATTTACTAATTCCCTTTACTCTGTTTATAATTTAAAATATAAAAATGGACGTTGAATTTTGAGCATTTATAAGTTAAGATCTGACACAGATCATATAAAACCCTTCTTCACACTGTGGCTCAAACAGTGGTTACAAGTTAAAGTTGTGATGTGAGAGTTTTAAGCGAAACCCCCCACACTATGCTAAGATGGTAGTTGTAAATGAAGGTTGGAATGTTAGAGAGTTTTGATGGAGAAGGGAAACGATTAACAGATGTGATCACATCACATAAAATGGTAAGCAGGAAAGTGTCGGTAATGAGAATGAGTTGCACATGAGAAAATTGTACGTTGGGGGTATGAGATGGACCAAACGATGCTGATATTCTAACGTCTTAAACTCTCTTCTTCTTCTCCCTCGTTTCTAAAACCAACTCACACCAACAATTATTTATTTCCATCTGGTCGCAGTTAATTGTCTTCTGAAACTTGACAAAATTAAATTAAAACGAAACACGCACAACTAGCCACTACAAAACCCACACGTAATCAAAGGATATTTGACCTACAGGATCCAAATTTAAATGATTAATAATATTATTATTCTTATTACTTTTATTCCTTTTGGTTTTGGTGCCTTATTTCACAGCCTCTCTTGGTATAAATCTAATCTCTAGTGGATGCATATTCTTATCTAACCCTCTCACTCAAACAAACCCCTTCTACCTCATTCTCTCTACTTCTCTTTTCTTTCCCCTTTAACACTTTTTCCCTCACTTTCTCCTCCTCCTTGCATCTCTACCTTCCTCTTACCACAAGGTAATTATCAACATCATTTCTTTATCTCTTTATCTCTTTTCTTTTCTTTTTTCTCTGTTTTTTGTTTCACTGCCCATATAATTTGGATATGCCCCTAAACCTTTTGCTTGCAACTACTTCTTCCCTGCTCGATTGGGAGACTGCCCTGTTTCTATTCTCTGTTATTTCTTTCTTTCTTTCTTTCTCACTTCTTTTTTTGTCTTGCACCTCATCACTCTTCTCTTTTCACAGAAATTAAAGGTTGCATTTTGTAGATTCATAATAGTGTAGCTTTGAATATTAGTTTCTGTTTTGTTACTCAACAATTGGGTTTGTTGAACAGGTAAAGAAAGATGGCAGGGTGTCATAAGGAAGACTATTTCACTGCCCCGGATGCTGAGGTACGTAACATAACCAAACTCCAACCATCACTTCCCCATTTATTATTTTTTTAAAAGGCTCCTCAATTCTTTCCTTCCTAATAACAATAATGATAATAATAATATCACAATGTTATTATCAATATCTGACTTAGAAAAACGAAAAAAGTTGCGTGGTTTGATGGCGGTGCCAACAAGTGGTGCGATGAATTAGGGAAAGGAAGATTTGATTTGATGATAATAAGCAACGAAAACGGTGATTAATGTGAATGGTATGTGTGTGGCATGACATTGCGATTTGCAAAATTGGAACAGGACTACCACACGTAATGCAAATAATACCAAAAATTATAGGAGAATCAGACGGAAAATCTAACTGTCTATTTTTCATTCACTGACATAACTGCACGTGTCTATTTTCTTTGGTGTACATTACGTTGTACCCATGTACTCTTTCTTCATCATCATGCTTGTACTTTTCTGCCCTCTATCATATGGGGGTACCTTAGTTTTTTTTTTTTTTTTTTTTTCATATATATTACAGTAATAAATATCAAACAAATTATTACGCGTGACATAAAATAATATCATGTGAATTCAATCTTCACAACATTTTCCGTTTCTTTGAATGCCTCACTCAATTTATTTATTTCGATGGGTCCAAGAGACGTTTTTATTTTACTTTTATTTGTAATTTGTTAACTCAAATTCAGATTTGAAATTAAGAGGAGGGATTTTAGCGAGAAGATATTTTGGTGGTGTTCCAAAATTGTCGGTTACTCTGTTACACGTTTTAAGGTGTCCCTACCAAAAACGATGCTTACAAAACTCTCCGTGCAAAACAAAACAAGCCTAACTGGCTTTTGGGCTGTTAAGCAAATCATGTGAACTTGGTTTTCTCCCAAACATCATCACCTTCTCATGACCATCATTGATTCACCTTTTGAAAAAGAAGAAGAACATAATTAAGGTCTTCTAGAATATTCTCTTTCCCCACCCACGTGACAGGATTTTCTTTCTGAACTCGCCGACGTTTTAACTTAAGACTCTCTTTCAATTTTAGGTTAGTGATAGAATTGGTCAAATGCATGCTTCTATTAGTAGCAATTCATGAAGTTGCTCAAGGTTCACGTGTTTTAGTCTTGGTTGACAAATACATAATTTGAACTTGTTGGATTAGTTCGTTGTATATGTATTCAAGATTCAAATTAATGAAGGGTCCAACTGCGCAACATCTTGGGCTAAATAATTTTCCACTAAACAAACATTGACTGGTGTACAACGAATACCTTTTCTTGCACCAACAAATATGTGATATCATGATTTTTCTTATTGGAGACAATTCTATTTGGCGGTTGGTGAGATATGGCCCCAAGATTCAAAATCAAACATCTCTTAACTTTTTCCTAGTGTTGCATTTTGGTCTTCGATTTTATAATATCATGTTCTTTTTTTCATTTCCCTTTCTTTTGCTTTGATTTAACAATTATTCAATATCAGGCAACATCTGCGGGAAAGTACGGTGGACTTGTCCCAAAGAAGAAGCCTTTGATATCCAAAGTAAGCCCTTACTAGAAATATTAGCTACATTTTTTCATTCACCTGTATCTAATTTAATTTAATTTATGCTTCTTTTTGCTGTTTAAAAGGATAACGAAAGAGCCTTCTTTGATTCCGCAGACTGGGCATTATGCAAGGTATGTTTGAATTTCACATGTTAAAACAGAGAAATGCATTTTAACAAAGTCCCAAACCGAAACAATTAAATTAAATAAGAAAAGTATATATATATATATATATATATATATATATATATATATATATATATATATATATATATATATATATATATAAACAACTTTTATTTCCCATAGATATGATTCTTTCGTATCTCATCTCAACAGCAAGGTGCTGGAGTGAATCAACAATCTACCGCAGCAGTGGAGACACTGCGACCAAAACTACAAGTATGACTTGGAGTTTTAATTAATTTATGGTTTAAACTATTTTGTTTGCTTTAAATGTTGAACCAATTTTCCTCTATAACATTTTTCGTTTTTGTATTTTCAAACAGAGAACTCCACACCAACAACTTCCTCCAAGACGGCCTGCATGCACATCTGGTTGAGATAATTCGGTGAATAACTCTAATATGTAATGCTCCAACTTCAATATTTTTTTTTTTCATTACTGAATTGTATATTGTATGAATATAACTTTAACTCCATTGTAATGCAGGGAGAATAGATTTAATAAGCGGAACAAGGATTGCTAAGTCAATTTCAGTATTACGAAACTCATGGTGTTCCTGATCTATGTATATTACATTTTACTTCGTGCTTTCTATTAATTAGCAGTTCAATAAAAATTTCATCTGGATTCCCCTTTTGTTTCTTCCTTCCTTCGAATAGTGCAGTAGGAATTGGATCAAATCTCATGACATAACATAGCATTTCTGTAAAGACTAGGGGAAATCAAGTATCAATTGATCCAAGGTTTAATTTCCTTTCATTTGGACAATATTGTTCACTTAATTATCCGTCAATAATACTAGGTTGCCAAATAATCTTATTCCAAACACGATTTTGTTCTTCAAAGTGTTGAGCACCGTCAAATTAAACGTTGATTTAAAAAAAAATTTGATAATTTTACATCATATTTTAGTTACCATCTTAATCTTTATTTGTAAGTAACTTGTACTATGCCGGCGTCGAAGTCCTAATTCATTCTATAATGCGTTGTAAAAATCTCAGATCTACTTTTCTAAAATGTTGGGTAAATTGATTTTAGTTTATGCAAAAGTTTCACACAACAAATGACTAGTCTTGATAGAGAAGGAATCTCTTCCTGAATCTGTGTTTCATCCTTGGATTAGTATGTGACAGCAATAAACTGTGTGGGCTACACCAGCATGTTTATCTCCCAATAATCTTGGACCCATCAAAATATAGTTTTTTTCGCCATTCTTTTTTGAAACCAGTTTGGATTTACATTTCTCAGATGCAGAGGAAATTTGAGGATTCATCACAAACCCAAACACTCCCTATAAGATATCTTATACAAACTGCTTCTTTTTCAGCAAAAAGCCTCCACTATGAGTGGTACATTCCAAGGAATGGGAAAGAAGAGAAAAAGGAAAAAATAAGATTATTTGAATTGAGAAAAAAAAAGTGAAAAATGAAGAAAAACTAATAAAAAATTATAAAAAATAAATTGATTTAATTAATTAAAAAATATTTTTTAAAAGATTATAAATACTATGAAAAATATATAATCAATTATGTTATGAAATAATATATTTTTTCGACAAAAAAAAAGTGTTCATCTCTTCCTATAACCTCCACAAAGAAATTATCTTTGGATAGTATTGGTGAGGGTTTTTATTCAATTGGATAGATTAACATCAGACACAAATAACTACAAATTAAAATATAATATAGTGAAAAAAAATCATAAAAGGTAGTGTAAAGATTAATCACACAATTATAAAATGATTGATAGATTAAAAAAATGTTACTTTGAATTAAGAATAAAATATAAGAATAAAGAGTACTTCCGGAAACTTAAAAAAAATAAATCACTCACAAACATTAAAATTTCAAATTAAAATGATCTATTCAAGTCAAAATATGACTACTTTATTATCAATCTAAAATTATTAAGTTCTAATTAAACTTAATTATCAACATACTATCTATGGAGTTTATTAACAAATGTATTCCATAAGAAGCCTTTATTTATTACACATACATATAAATAATTAAAAAAATAACTAGAAAATTTTAATACAATAATATTATCCTATTTTTAATAAATAGAAATATTTATTAAAATCAGTAACTATGTCATTCAATTTTTATTTAACCCATTTTATTAATATTCAATCAAATACTTAAATCAATCTAGTTAAACTAAAACGATTAAATGTGTGTTTTTTAAAATATTAATTTATAGTATATTTTCTAAAAATTTTAAAAATATATTTGAAAATTTTAATAACTCAAATTCAATCCCATAAAAATAGATTGGATTAGGGGATGGATTTGTCTAATATATATTTTTGTTTAACTTTAGATAAATTTTTGAAGCCTTTTTTTTTTTTGTGAGTTTGTGAGAATTTATCAATTTGAAGAAAAAAATTGAAGTAGAATCACAAAGGAAACGTATCTAAGCTTTCTATCATAGGATCTATTATTATGAGTTACTAAGTAGGTAGACTTCTTAGATTAGCTTTCAACCGTAAACTTAAATAATTAAAAGGATGACTCCTAATCTTGTGTCATTACTTCTTTAATCTATATTTTATATTATTGAATGCTATAGTGTCCTTTTTATCCAGGAATCAAGAAAACTTATTAGCTTTAACATTTTACTTTGGAAAAAAAAAATTTAACTAAGGAGTTTTTGCTAGTTTACACTTGTCCACAGTATATGCATTGCAAATTAAATAAGAAAGTAGATAAAAATAATTTAGAGGCAAACAAACAAATAATATGTCATACTTCATAGTTTTAGTATCTACATTCCACTACTACAAATAACGCTTTCAACGTCGGTTCTGGAAGGCTTTCAACGTCGGTTTAATAACCGACGTTGTATCAGGCGACGTTGAAAGTCGTAACTTTCAACGTCGGTTCCAAAAAACCGACGTTGAAAATACACTTTAGATAGCGGTTCCCTTATAACCGCTATCTAAAGTCGACATTAGATAGCGGTTCCCTTATAACCGCTATCTAAAGTCGACTTGAGATAGCGGTTCCCTTATAACCGCTATCTAATATCGACTTGTCGACTTTCAACGTCGGTTAAACCGACGTTGAAAGTATGATTTTTAAAATTAATAATTTTTATTTATTTACAACCCCTTTACCCCCCTTTTATTATCTAGAAGTCTCTCCTCTCTTCCTATTATATTTTTATTAGGTTCTCCATCTCTTTATATTATACTTTTTAGAAGTTTGTTAATTTTTAAGAGAATTGTCATTGGCAGGATTCGAACCCAGTACTTTAGAGTTGGAGGCTGATACTCCAACCACTAAACTACTTGAATTTTTTGATAATAACTTACAAATATATACAAATAAATATATATCCGTGTAAATATATACAAATAAACCCAGTACTTTCATCTTCTTCGCACTGATAATCCTCCAAAATTTTGTGTTCTTCATGCTGACGACCCTCCCAAATTCACCTTCCCGCTCACAATTTCACTCCCTCTTTTCGACCTTGTACCAGTGACTATCCACCATTGTTCGAGTTTAATCACCTTCGTCTCTCCAACCCCAATCCTCCACCCTTCTATTCAGACTTCCAAGATCTTTAACCCGAGCATGCATCACCCGACCTCAAGCTTGAAATCCAACCCAGTGACCTTGAATCTCAAATCCGAGTGACCAAAACACCCAATCAAAACCCAAGCAACTTCGAATCTCAACCCCAGACCTCGACGAACTCGAGGCCGAACCCCAACTCTGGCGACATCGAACCCCAAAGTTCAAGCCAAACTGTTTTTATAGAAGATTTTCAAAACTGCTGGTTTAATTAATCTGTTAAAAGATTCTTTTAATCTGTTAAAAGTGCAGTTTTAATCTGTTAAAACTTCTTTTAATCCATTAATACGTTCTTCATTCTTTAACAGATTTGTTTTAACTGATACTGCAACGTTTATATCAATTAAAACACTTTACAAAAAATCTTCTAAGTTGATTTAATCGATTGTTTCGCGATTCAATCGATTGAAATACTGCAAAACTTTCTCGTAAAACTTTTCAACTAATTTTAACTGATAAAAATAAGTTTTAATCGATTAAAACGCTGTGCAGAAATTGTTTTAATCGATTGAAACGAGATTTAATCGATTGAAACGCTTTCTAAAATGTATCTCGCTTGAGCGACACCCTTCTCGCTCGAGCGAAACGCCCCCTGCACAAAATTAGCATTCTCGGGTTGTATTTCGCTTGAGCGACACTACTTTCGCTCGAGCGAAATAAGATTCTGATCGATCATAACTTGAAATGATCGATCATAGTTGAGAGGATATAATAGCGGTTCCCTTATAACCGCTATCTAAAGTGTATCTCGCTTGAGCGACACCCTTCTCGCTCGAGCGAAACGCCCCCTGCACAAAATTAGCATTCTCGGGTTGTATTTCGCTTGAGCGACACTATGCTCGCTCGAGCGAAATTTGATTCTGATCGATCATAACTTGAAATGATCGATCATAACTTGAAATTAGATAGCGGTTCCTTTAGAACCGCTATCTAAAGTGCACTTTAGATAGCGGTTCCCATATAACCGCTATCTAAAGTGTGTGAGTTTGTGGGGAAGAACATCAATATATTGGGTTTCGACGTCGGTTATACCCACACCCGACGTTGAAAGCCTACTTTCCACGTCGGGCATGCTAAAACGACGTAGAATGTGTCAAAATTCGACTTTCGACGTCGGTTCACTACTACAAATAAAGCTTTCAACGTCGGTTCTGGAAGGCTTTCAACATCGGTTTAATAACCGACGTTGTATCAGGCGACGTTGAAAGTCGTAACTTTCAACGTCGGTTCAAAAACCGACGTTGAAAGTATGATTTTTTAAATTAATAATTTTTATTTATTTACAACCCCTTTACCCCCCTTTTATTATCTAGAAGTCTCCCTCTCTTCCTATTATATTTTTATTAGGTCCTCCATCTCTTTATATTATATTTTTAGAAGTTTTTTAATTTTTAAGAGAATTGTCATTGGCAGGATTCGAACCCAAGTACTTTAGAGTTGGAGGCTGATACTCCAACCACTAAACTACTTGAATTTTTTTATAATAACTTACAAATAAATTATATTTATATACAAATAAATATATATCCGTGTAAATATATACAAATAAACCCAAGTACTTTCATCTTCTTCGCACCGATAATCCTCCTCCAAAATTTTGTGTTCTTCATGCCTGACGACCCTCTCGTATGATTTACAAAAAAAGCCCTGACGTTATGATTACTGTAATTCTTAGGTTGGTGGATACAATTTTTTTGTGGTTGAGCGATATATGCGGGTCTCTGCCAAGTCTGATAACTTGCAAAACCAATGTTAGTTGAGCTAAATTAAGGTAATTCTTGGTAGAGTAGACAAAATTTTCAAGATCTCCATCGTCGATATTGCCGATGAAAATAACTCGTTTCAAAACATAGTGTTAAGGAACAATTCCTATAAGTTTTTCAACTATCTTTGAGATAAAATGAATTTTATAAC